AATCTTAACCTGTTCAAGTTTAGAGTTAACCGTTATCTTCCCTTTCTATCCATATAAACTAACCCTTAACGTAACCTCCTACCTCGAGTGGGCCCAGGTCTTGTACAGGGTCAACCTTACTGTAAAAAAAAAAAAAAAAATTAGATACCAAAATAAAAATAATTATGCACTGTGTAGAATTGGAAGGTCTCATTAGATAATGGAGGATTTCCATAGACACTGGAGGACATTTTACCTCTCCCTGTGTTACATAAGCAACTGAGTGGCCAGGGGCCGAGGTATTTTTGTATTTTGTATCTCGTTGGTACGAGAATAAAGTAATTCAGAATTACTACCATCATTGCCGTTAAGGTTATTTTACACACTAGTGGAAATTTATAAAACCGCGACATCTGAACGTAATCAGTTGCTTCGACTTATACTCGGGGTTTGGATTTTTGCCAATTTCTCAAACATAGAATAAGTAGGGGGTAGTCCTGTATTCGAATCGGCTTATACACGAGTATGCACGGTATTTATGTTTGCCATCATTTCAAGAGCCTATATGATTTTGAAGCCTACGTAATACATGACATACATTATCTTTTGATGGTCCTAAATTTTGAATGCTGGGGTTCGGGTGCTAGAGTTTGCGTACAAAGTATCATAATCAACAACATTTCCTGGATTTATTTCAAGAGATAAATCAGCAAAACTTAAAACGCTGAAACCAGTTTTTTTTTGTTTTGTTTTGCTGTCTGATCAGGTATTGTTTCATTTTCTTTCACTGGTTGAATTCTGCGAGCAACAGCTTTGAGATCCCGTTTAAAATAATTCCTTGAAATTACCAGAATCTCAATAACTGTTTCTGTCATAAAAAAAATAAACAAAAATTATATTTGAACAGTATCGAAAGTGATTCAGTTTACACCTACCCCCTATCCCTGATCTTTTGAACAATAGTAGACGTTTATTCCTTATTTCCTGTTTAGGATTGGCTTTCCTGTTCCTTCTAAGGTCTGTTTCAGCTCTGAAAAGAAAAGCTCTGTGCTCATAGCGCTTGTGCATTCCTACATAATATGTTTAAGACTAGTAAAGTTCACTAAAATATCGTGGGACCTCACGATACCATGATGACGTGTACAGTTACGGCTGTACTTTTACAATCTCTAAAAATTGATGTATATTCAGAATCGCCAGGCCATAAAGTCATATTCCAACCAACCTATCAGAAGCCGTCTCGTATTTAATCCAGATAATATTTTTTCTTTCAGACTACTTGTAAGTGTTGTTATTTTGCTATGTCGATTCTTCACCTTAACACAGTGGTAAATCATCCATATTTACTTCGTATTCCATTGGTAAGAAAGAAATTCCACTAAGACAAATTTTTCTGCAAAACCCGCTACTTTGTGGACCAGACTCACAAGAGTTTGCTTTCTTGATGACTACAATCTTAACCACTTCAAGTTATGGGTCAACCGTTATCTATCCTACATATCCTCAAAATATCCTCTTCTTACAGACATACAACAATCTAATTCATTAACTCTCTACCTTGAGTGGCTCTTTTGGGTCTTGTATTTGGGTAAACATTTTATCGAAAAGAATACAAAATAAAAATAGAAAAAAAATACTTTCCAAGAATAGTAATTCACAGATAACAGAAAAAAGGAATCTGTGGAGACCTATCTTTGCTTACACTCTACGGGGACCTGTAGTTAAAAAAAATTCTTAATAACGAAAATACTTTTGATACGGCCTCATATTCTCCATTAAAATATTAACTAATTGTTGCATTATGTAACGCGACTCTTCAAGAGATAAAAAAATAGCATGTGGAAAGACAGTAAGTTAGTTGTGAATTAGATTGGATGTTAAAAATGTACTTCGAAGCAGTACATTGTCATGAACAGCCTCAAGGTTTAAACTCTTATTACATGCAGTAGTTTAGTTTCCGCTTTTATTCGAAATCGAATAATATGTAGAAAAATGCGGTGATAGAAAAATAAATAATAAAAAGAAGGCCAAAATTTCACAATTTCTAAAAACAGATTTATATTCAGAATCGTCAGTCCATAAAGCCATATTTCGACCAAACTATCAGAAGCCGTCTCGACCATGGTACAAACATTCTTTTCTTGTGAGCGAATCAGAAACAAGAACTTCTGTAAACTAGAATATAAAGCCACTAATAGTGAACTTATTAGAATCAAAACGCCATTTTCGAAGCGGATATCTCGATATGCACATAACGACATGGAAAATCAACCTAAACCAGAATCATTGAATTAATATTGTCCATTCTCCGATGCTGATGATCAGAACCGAAATGTGACATTTGTGCGATCAGCTGGCAACTCGAGACATCTACACAATCCTGCTACATTAAAAAAAAAAAAACACATCCTTCCTTTCACCACATTTTAAGCACCCCCTGTTACATTTGAAAACATATATACCTTCCTTCACCTACATTGTTAAGCAGGCGATTACTACATTTGGATACATGCATTTACTTTCTTCCGGACTGGATCTCTCTCGTATGCGCCATGACTTTTATACTTGAACTCTTGAAACTGCAACTTTCACCTTATCATTCTGTATTATTATATTGTGTTATTGTTGTAACCAAGGGAAGGTTACTGATTAGAATAATCAAACGAAGGTTGGTAATGAACGATAATGCTTAGGACAAGAACAACACATATAAGGTTCGCCAGTGGCACGTAGAAAAAGTAGTCAACTGCTAGAAGTGAGTCAAGTGAATTCCACAATGAATCTCAAACTACAGGATATCTATCAACAGCCCCACTCGGTCAGATGTGGCACAAGGCCTAATTTAATGTGGGACATCCTGGCCCGTAGGCTCGGCCAAAAATTTCCCGTACACCCCGTATAAAACGGAGTCGGCTAATTGTTTCCTGGGACGAGACTGGGGATCCTCTTTGCCCGGAGAGAGTTTAACCAGCACAGCTGGAGCCGAATCTCCAACTGCAGGATATCTTACCAACCGCCTACGCGGTCAGATCTGGCACAGGGACTAATTTAATATGGGGCATTCGAGCCCGTAGGCTCGGCCAAAAATTCCTCGTAGACCCCGTATAAAACGGGGTCGGGTAGCTGTTTCCCGAGACGAGACCCTGCCATTCGACATAGCCTCGTCTGGGGATCTTCTCTGCCCGGAGGCAGAGAGTTTGACCAGCACAGCTGGAGACGAATCTCCAACTACAAACCAACATACAATAGTTACTACTGTATTTATGTGAATGGGGACATATCTATTATCGTCCGTAGGTATGCTACAACAGTTATATAACGATTTATGCTGTATTTATCAATACCCTGTCCATTTTGTTTTAATTATTACAGAAAATTAATATACACTCAAACCAAATATAGAGTTATATGAAGGTAACAGGCGTTGTCATAAGATAACCTCAATAAACACCATATTTCATTTTCACGAAAAGAGTTGGCCGAACAAATTTTTAAATAGAATGAAATATTTGTCAAAAGATGTCTATCAGCATAAAAGAGAGATTTTCTTAAAAGACCAGCTGTCTACGAATCTAGCATTTTCGTTTTTATTTATCTCTAGCGAAGACTAATAGATCATCTTGAGACCAAATAGAAATTCCATATCCTTAATTTCTTTTATCGGTCACTGTCAGCGTAAAGTTACTGTTTCGAGCTGTTGTTATTAATTTGACAACATTCTTGTTCTGTTGTGGTTTAGTAGAGATATTGGCAGATAAAACCCACACAACTGCTTATTCAGACAGAGGAAAACATGATTTAATTGTTTATTGTGTGAAGACCATTTCCACAGCAACACCCCCCAACCCAGCCCGCTAAATCCTAACACTGAAATGAAAATTCATTTAGCCAATTAAAGATACTACGTAAACATGTTCCTTCATAAATAAAGTCTCCGTAACATACACACTCACACGCGCATACACACACGGTTTTATTCATACGCCTACAAAAGCTTGTATACAGACATGATGAGAAAACACACACTAAATTGAAATGAACAACAGTAATTGCAATAAAGGTATGCTAAACAGGACGCATATTCAGCGAAATACTTAGAAAGAATGCCGAAAAGGAATACAAAGACATTCTTGTAGGCACATATATAAATATACGAAGGCGTGAAATAAGAAATAAGACTTACGCAGACTGGCAAAAGAGCCTGGGGTTTTGTTCAAGACGAACATAAATAAAGCTAATATTAGTTAATTACAACTACTTAAACAGCGCCATCGACCACACAGTAAAACAAACCTAAATAGAAGCTTGAACAATATAATTCAAAAGGACTGCATACAAAAACCAATGACAATCATTTACAATGAAAATAAATGTAGCCACAATGCACATGGGACACAGCGAAGTATTGTAAAAACAAAAAACAAAAAACAAAAAACAAGACAAAAAAGAAAAAAAAAATGAAAAACAACTCCATGAAGTCTGTAAACAAAGAAACGAAAAAAGCAAAAAAACAAAAAACAAAACAAAATAACAAAAAAAAAAAAAACAAAAACAAAAAACAAAAACGGACCAACTATACGGACTTTACAGGCTTCTCATGAAGAACGACTCATTGAGGAAACAGGTTCTGATGACTCCTACGCAAAAAAAAGACTAACAATTTTAGTGTCCATACAAGTGTTGCTCTATAGACAGCAAAGAAAACTAACTGAAGAATTAGTCGTAGATCTCTCTCTATTTCTCCTGCTCTCTTTCTTTCTCTCACTCTCTCCATATATATATATATATATATATATATATATATATATATAAGAGAGAGAGAGAGAGAATCTACAGATTGACATAGAGTGATGGATATTAGTGCAGTAAATTTCAAGCCTCGTTAGTTACATCAAATGATGTCACTGTGTACAAGTTTTCTCTTTCTCTTCATCTATCTATCTATCTATCTATCTATCTATCTATCTATCTATCTAGATAATGAACAGATTGACATAGCATAATAGATATTATTGCAGTAA